CCAAAACCCGGAGTGTTGCCCAGCATTACAACCACAACACGCTCATCAATATGGTTTTTTACTATAATTAGTACCAAAACAAGATGGTTGTGTTAAACCATATGTGACTTTAATGGTTTCATGATTGGTTTCTAAATTGTTAATGCATTGGTTTTGGGACTACAACCATACATAGTTTTCATCATGATTTATGCTCTATTTGGCAATCATAATGAATGGTTTTTTGTATAGTTTTGAATATGATTGAGTTGTATTTTGAGAATAAATGTACATATGCTTTTCTATATAGTTTACTGATACCTATATAGTTTTGAAACTGATGTTTGCCAATTTTGTTCACATAATTTTATTCACAATTCAGATATAGTGTTGCATATAAATTTTTGGTTTGCTTAAGCAAACCTATAGGATGGTAGTGAATATACCTAGAATAAGCTTGGATATTCTAGGATATTCTACCATCTAACGGTTGGTATTCATTTAGATTAATCTGGTATTTATAATTTATAAACATGTTTATAATTTATAAACTTTCCTAAACCCTTTCTAGTATATTCTTTTTTATTCTATCATCTAATGGTTGATATGCAATAAGATTAATCTTGTGTTTATAAATTACAAACATGCTTATAATTATAAACTTTATTTGATCAATTAGATTAATAAGTAATAATAAAACTACTATTAAGCAAACCAAGCGTTGCTACATGCAAGGCGTAGCAATTTTTTATATATAGAACCATATTTATAGATATGGTTTTAATTACATTTTAATTTTTTAATGTTATAGTGGTATAGTCCCAAGTATTTATGAACCAGGCCTCTTTAGATATAATCAATTGTCCAAACTTTACACTCTGCTCAACAATGTCCTTTAAGGTTTGTTCAGTTTTAATTTTGCAAGCATTTAGCAACTGGTAAATATGGTTTTCATTCTTATAGAATTACTTCATGAAACTTAAATTCAAGGAGCGATTCCATTAATTTTTTTAGAATTTCTATGTTAAGCTTAGAAAATTCTTGCAAGTATTTGCTAAATTTGAGTGAAAAAAAAAACTACTTAAATTGATTTGTTATTATATTACTTTATTAATAGTTATTGATTCTTTTTGTGCTTTTATAGTGTATTCCACTTCTTTTGCCTCATACACAGAAAGAGTAGTCTTATTATTTAGCTGGACTTTTTTGTTGTTTTGCAATTTTGCCAATATTAACTAAATAAATAAATAAAGTTATATTATATAATATATACAAGCATAAGAATTAACACACCTCTTTATAAATATTTATAGCCATAGGCTGAGCTTTTACTATTGTGGATAATAGTTAGAAAGTCATACAAGTTAGTTATAATTAATACACACAAGCATAAAAAAAACAATGTTTAGTGAAGATTGTTGCAAAACAATAAATTATTTTTATAATATTATCCACATTTTAATAAAAAATATTTAAGGAAGCACTTTCAGTGTTCTTCTATTTGTAAATAGTGCCAGAAAATATTAGTCCATATATACAATTAAGCTTTACTATGAAATTTACCTTTTTCTTCTTGGTTATAATCTTACACTCAATTTCTTCATCAATCCTGTTTAGTAAGGTATGGGGGTTGCTCCTCACGTTCGTTGCCATATGATTTAGTCTAGAGCTACATAAATAAAAATTAAAAACTACAAAATTATTTTGAAAAGAATACCACTTTAATAATTTTTTCATTATCCTTGCTAATGACAATGGCCTTTATGCACTTATGCCAATACATCTCCTGAACTTAAAATTTAAAATTAGTGCATACCTTTATCTTTAATGTTGAGTATAATTTTAGAATGCCATCCTAAAAAAGATTTACTTCACATGTGAAAAAAACCTTTATATGGGAAGTAAATCCTTATCTATGAGTGAAATTATCCTCACTCGTAGGGCTTTATACTTTCAAATGAGTGTGCCATTATAAACTTTCTTAATTATTGTAGTTCTAACTCATTGCCATTTTTAAAAATTTTTTATCCTTGCTATTTGAAGATATTGCAAAAGCTATATTGAAAATTATGAGGTTTTTTCCATTGAAACTAATATGGTTTGTACCTTAAAAAATTCAAGATCTATCAATGCTAACCTTATATTTGACTTAAATGCAAGGAGATCCACAACACTGTAGTCATACAAGTATTTTATAAACTCTTTTATTTGCTCTATTTTAGCAACTATTGATTTTTTAAGTTAATATCACAATACAATGAAGATGTCTTTTATCTTGAACTTATAAACACAAAATGAAATGATTATCCAATTTGCACTCATAAACTTGCTCAATTAGCTTAGTTCTCTGCTCCACTTACCTTTCACATTTGAAGTATCCTCTTTTGTAATTAGGAAAGATTTACAATAACTCATAAAGTAGATTTTTGCCAAATAAAGTTAATAAAAAATCTAGTAAACGCTTAGAGTACTTTTTAACATTGAAAATTGGTGTTGCAAACCTTGGTTGCTACTCTCATAATCCTTGATTTGGTGTGTTTTATTTTTAAGTGGGTATTGGTTGGCACTATTGTCTTCGTGGAGGGCTTTTATTTTGGGCATGCTTTTTAAGGCATACCTACTTTGACGATTGAGATTTTTGAGTGTCTTTGTCAATTGAATTGCATCTCCTGTTTTTACTCTAATACTCATCCATATCAAAATGTTGAGCTTGAAATGATCCTCTTTAAAAAATCCATTACTCTCAATCTTGTTATGGAAGTTTGGCAACACTTTAGCCAAACAAACACTCATAATTTATTTATACAATCCCTTGCTAAATGGTCCATTCAATTTTGCTAGGGTTATCAATATTTGAGGAAAAAAAAAAAGGGATTCACTTTGTGTATTTTCACCCATTGCTTACCTTATCTCAGCTCGTCAATTCAACTAGAATGATGAGCAAATACAAAACCTAGCACCTCTACAATCTCGCCGCCCACTAAACCCTACTATACAAACTCTAGTTCACAAGTGGGAGGTTCAAATGTAAAAAATATATATAAATTGAGTAACAAACTTGTATTAATTTTAGCTAATTATGCTTTTATAACTATGTGCACTAAAAACTTTTACTTCACTTTCTCCAAAATCAAATTTATTTGTTACCATATCCAATATTATGGTCTCGCTAAAAAGACTTTTTATCTCCATAGTTGCATCATTGGACTATTTTGACTCTTCAATTACTTCTAGGTTATAGAGTTTCTTCCAAACGTCAAATCACAACTTATACCCTAATAATCCAAAACATAACTATCTTAAAAAATGTATAATTAAAAATATCACTCTAATTTCTTTATAGGCCAAATAGCACCATGGTGGGGTGAACCTTGTTATAATGTAAAACAATAGCATGCCATCTATTCCACCAATCCCAACCTCAACCATCTTCCAAGTCCAAAATTATTTGCAAATCACAGGGTATCCTTGAATACTCATCTACCTTGTATCATGTCAAGGTCAATTGAAGACATATTAATGTTATTGTGGATGCAATGGTAAATTCTAACAACACAAAATAGTAGTGCATATAAGAATTGTAAACAAAAGATTTCCAAAACCAAATAAAAAATCACTTAAAAACATAATTGGCACATTGGATGCATAAGGATATGAGCCGGATCTTCACTAAAACCTTCATAGCTTTAGAGAAGAGCAATTATC